AAGATCGACGGGCGCCTTGGCGACTGCGGTGAAGATGATATCCTAGACCGTAGCGACGTTGCCGGAGCTGCTTCCAGATCAATAGTGCTGATCCCCAGGTAGCTGCCCATGGGTGTCTCGATACAAGACGTTTCGCAGCTGTTTAAAGGTGACGTGAATAGGCCTTTTTCAGGAAACTGAGAACTTCTCAAAACGGCATAGCACAGATTCCTCTGTATCCTGTCCCGCGCTACCACCTCTTTTATCGCCAAAACCGTGCTTGTCATGGCAATTTCGCTCTTAACTTCAGCCATCCGTTTCGCTGCTGTGCCACTCGTCCCACTGGTGTCTGAACAACAAAGAGGTCATCCGCCAATCACAATTGTGCACTTACCATTAGCTCAGTTTAGCCAACAGCATCCAGCTACACATTCCTTCCAACTGCAGTCCTTAGACTACAGGTACTGTGTGTGCAGTCATAGATGATAACTGAGCCCAGTTTAGCCAACAGGAGTGAAGGAGTGGGTACACAAAACCGTCGAAGATACAGTAACTAAGGTCGTCACGGGTTGCACGCGTATCCCAGGAAGTGAGGCAATGCTGTGCAGGCGAATTACCGAGCATCAAAAGATCATAGAAAAGGAAGACGAGATAGAAGACGAAAGAGGTGATAAGGGCCAGCAATAGAGCGCTAGGCGCCACGGCTCTACTTGTGGGAATAGGTCCGCCGATTCGTCCCAGGTAGGTTGGCAGCCTCTACGGGTGCAGTAGCTTTTTATTGTAACGGCCGCAGTGCCCTTTTCATTGAAGCTTGATTCATCAGAGTGAGAAGATATCGGAGAAGTTGAGAGTGCGAGGAAAGAATTTTAATCACCTGATGAGTGCAGAAAGCTGTTTAATTGCACCGGGAAGTTCATTAGCTAACCCCCAGACGCTCCTCTGACTTTCGCATTCGCGCGATGGCACTGTCGGTTGTAAATGGGCGAATCCATTCGAACTCCAGACGCTCTATCAAGAATGTTCTATTTCAGCGCAGGAAAAAGACACGGAAAAAAGATCTTGTGGACAGAACAACAGTCGCTTCGGTAGAGGTAGTGGAACGCGAAGAGCTAAAAGAAATCGGAAAGTTTGGTAGAGTTGACATGATCTCTGTTTTTTGTTACCAAAGCATGACAAGAACCTGCGTGCCTTGCTAGGCGGTGTCGTGACGATTTGTCAGGTTGTCCGGAAAGTTCCTCAGCGTTTTGTGTTACTATTTTTTGTAGTATTCACTGCCGATTAAAAACGCATTCTCCCTTGCGTCTCAGTAGTAGTCCTGAAGAGAATTTTTTGTGCACCCTATCTTGCAATGGTGCGCCCAATTTCCGTTGCACCGTTTGCTGACAAACCTTTTCCCAAGGACTTGTTGAAGCATTTTCAACAAGGCAGCAACTTCGGACGATATTTTTCGTTCGAACACAAAGTTGGCGTCAATGCGCAGTCGACAAACTCTAACCAGGTTTGGGGGGCCCAATAGTTGTGACAATGGTTCGACAAATTTCGTTCTGGAGATTTCAGCCTTGAAGATGAACCTACGCGGTCGACCTAAACAATACCTGACGAGGATTTGAAGGCGTTTGTGAGCCTGGACTCATCCCAAACAGCTTCGACGGAGATTGCCAGGAAAGCTGGACATTCGCAAATTCCACTGCTGCGGTTCTTGAAAGCCATTGGGAAGCGCTAAAAAACTCGACAGTAGTGCCCCACAATTTGAGTGACCGGCAGAAATTGGCACGTCTCGAGGTTTCCTTCTTCACTGCTTTTGCGCAACAGAAACGACCCGTTTTTGGACCGAATTGTCACCTGTGATGAAAAGTGGATCATGTATGATAACAGGAGACGTTCCGGACAGTGGTTGGATGCCGACGAACCACCGAGGCAATTTCCAAAGCCGAATCCTCACGAAAAAAGATTATGGTCACAGTGTGGTGGTCATCGGCTGGTGTGATCCACTATAACTTTTTGTCACCAGGCCAAACCATCACAGCAGAGTCTACTTGTGAAGAAATTGACGAAGCTGCGTCGTCAGCGTGTTAGCCAGCAACTGTCAAAAGAAAGGTCCGATTCTTATATAGAGAGCATGACAACGCCCACCCACACTTTTCACAACACTATCCATAAATGATCATTGAATGGGGGGGGGGCGGGCGTGAGTTCTACCTCACCCGCCATATTCTCCAGACCTTTCACCAACCGACTATCACCTTTTCAAACATTTTCAGAACTTCCTTGCTGGAAAATACTTCATCAATCAGGACCAAGCAAAAAAGTCTTCGTGGATTCTCGACCACCCAGTTTTTTTTCTTTAATTTGATTTTGTTTATGTTTTTCTTTAGTCACACTGAAAGTGTACTGATTCGCAGCAGGTGTTCATTTCGTTTAAATCGATGCAGTATTAGAAAAGTCTATGATAGTTTTGAAGTGAAAACCACAAAAAACGCTTGAGAACTTTAAAGACAACATTGGTACGCTTCAAACCATTGAGGGGTGTATGGACTAACAGCCCCCAGCTGTCGATGTGTCGTGGTTCCCCGCCTGAAACTGCACGGGGTCCGAGTACGGGACCGTGGGAAAGGCTTATTCCTTGCTACACCGCCCAAAATTCACCGCGCGCAAGTTGCATTTCGCCGCGCGCAAGTTGCATTTTGGGCGGTGTAGCAAGGAATAAGCCTTTCCCACGGTCCCGTACTCGGGACCCTTGCAGCCCATTGCAGTAGGGCACAGCATCCGCACCGACCAGTGCATCTGCGCCACAATTTCCAAGAACAACTCCATAGCACGCCGTGCTAATCTCCAGAAGGCAGATAACATAAGCTCTTCCCAGTCCACTGATTGACCTTCTAACTCTTGCTGTCCGAAGAGTTCTATAGAACTCCCTAGCCATGAAACGTACCAGACAGAAGCCTGGGAGCTAATTCCTCACTTTTTACAGCTTCTTTCTGAAATGCGGAGTCGACGTTCACGACAAGCTTCTGATAGAAGGAGGAGAACGAAAGGCATGGTCAGCCAGTCACAAAATATTATTTCTCACAAAGCAGAATATACAGTTTTAAGGATTTGATAAGAGTATTAAATAGGGAAAGAAGCAAACTTTAGAGGCACATTACACGCTCGTCGCATGGGCGGGGACAGTCATTCACTAGACCATCTTCTTGGTGTGTTCCTTCTTCAAAAACATGGGTAAAAGAGGGAGGATGAAGAGTCATGACTGCCACTGATAAAGGCAAAATGGCATTCCTGGTTTCTTCCATGGTACACTATGCCTTTAGGTCCACCTTTGCGTTCGCGGTTGCTCCCCTAACTTCTGCCCCTCCACAGGGGTTCACAATGCCTCATTTACCT